CTTTCCTACGAGAACATTCAGAGATGGAGCTATTGTGACCGCCAACCACGTCTACATCTGAGGCCATAAAGAAAAACCAATAAACAGCAAAGCGTTGATCAGTATGGAGTGAAACTAAATTCAAAGCCAGATAAAACGCCTAGTCAATCCGTTTAGCGTATAGCTGGAATGGATAATAAAGTTTAAAATGTAAAAAAAGATAAAGCTCTCGGCGTTGATCAATCCCTGAGGGCTGCGCCATGCATTCAACTTCAATAAGTATCGTCGGAGGTGAGTGAATGCATATCTGGGCCTTTACAATGACTCGCGTGGCCTACCGATGTACCGAGCCAGTGCTGCTATCCTCCCAGACAAGTCTGGTGCCAATTTGCCGACCCTGAAGGGATGGAAGGCTTGGTAAACCATGGGCGCTGGGATCGATTCCACGTGTGTATCTCAGTGGTGCCTCCAACCACTGCCCCACACCCGCTCTTTTGAAAGTGTAGTAGTTTTAAAAACGTGATGACGAATAGCGAGACATCTTGTAGACTAGAATTTTTAAGTTAACGAACTTCTAAAAATTCAAACATAAGGGTGATGTAAACAAAGGATATCGGTCAGCCCAGCATTACCTCTAAGAGTAAAATTGCTGTAATGCAAAAATCGCTATGGAGAGTTGCGCTGAAGAGCGATAACAAGTCAGAGGTATCTCACTCTTGTTTTGCGTCACCTATCTAAGAATCACCTGCTGCACAGTGGTTATAGAAGACATGCGAGGCACATTGTGTCTGGTCCCATCTTAAAGCCAGCCTAACTGGGCGGTTCATTTCTTCAATGTATACAAAATTAGTATCAGTATTGACTGAAAGAATAAATCTACTAAAACAGTGACATTGTAAGCGTTAGGCTGGTGCAACTATATATAGAGAATATTAAAGCGAACTAACCACATCTGTCATCTACCTATCTGATTTCGGTTCCGTAGTAATAGACTATACGGCCTTATGTACAAATTGTCAAAAATTCGTTGAGCTGGTTGATTTCTTATCGACTAAGGTAGGCCGAATCAAATGCAGAAGTTTGGATGGCTGAAACCAATCACATTCTTATTCAAATTTATTCGTGAAGTGGCTGCCTATTAAAGCGCTAGAAGTGGAAGAGAGACGATATGTCACTGTTCGGACGCGAGTATTTTATGATTCGTGGGAGACGACAAGGCCTCCTCCTGACTGGTCGGTTCCTCGGTCAGTCGGTCGGTCACTTAAGGAGAGACATGGCCAGAGATGTGTGGCGTTGTTCCGATTACAATATCTGATGATGACCCTTAACGGATTTTGTGGGAAAATCAAATAGCGAACAGATTTGTGAAAACCTAGAAAATTCTCTGAGGTTATCTAAACCACAAAGTGACAAAAAGAATGCTACAAGAGAATTTTCAATGACTAAAAGGTGATTGCTAATAATATCGTTACCTCTGGTTTTAGAATTTATATAGTATGATGGCCACTGCTTGGGAAATTTATTGAAGAGCATGTTCTCAACTCAAAGATTGCTTACAAACCAGACTAATAATTAGTCTGCAGCTGAAGGAAGCAAGAGCTCAGTGAAATAAACCTTATGGCGAATTCTTCTTCAGAATTACGAACTCACTGCGCTTCCCCATTGTAACGGTCAGCCTTTCAAGCTACTTTTGAAACACGTTTGTGTTATTTATTACAACGCATAGTCAGAAATATTCAGGAAACCCACCATATTATCAATTTGCCAAGTAAAAATCGGTCTATTCGCTGACAAAATCATGGAGGTAGATAGGATAAAAACTACAGTACGGCGATGAGTAGACTAGTAGCCCACAAACAGGTCATTGTCTACAGTATTTCCTTTTTGAAGAAGCCTAAAAGGAAGTCATAGAATAAGCGCATTATTAGACTCATGCATAGGGCCTTTAATGAGCCTTAAACTGGCCAAGGGTCGATTTCATGCTTCGCTGCCCCAACCGTATGGGCTGATCGTACGTACGGTGGTAGTGGAGGGATAACTTCCGGTTTCGCGTCATAAAACACACCAACGACCAGCGCTCATACTGTGTGCGTGTGTGTGTATGTGTGCATGTGCAGGCTTGGTCACGCTTCCTAAACACCCTTAATGAGGCATACGGTAATCAGTCACTAAGGAGCGATATAACGTTTAAATCCAACACAACAACCGGACTAGTGAGCATAACACTACGCGGATGCGGAGTAAATTCAATCAGAGTCGAACGGTCAAATGATACTGAGCTAAAATGGTGAATGTTTCCACGTTGTTCCTCACACTCGATCAATGAGAGGCAACTTAATCAGAGTGGTGGTATTGGTGTTCAACCTCATCTGTTTAAGAGTAAAGTATGGTGATAAACCCTGGCGCTAATCACGAACGACTGCAACTTAATGCTTTTTAATGTTAACTTTTTTACCCAGCAATGAAAATTGTAAGCTTAACCATAGCATGATCTGCATTGGAAAACGCCGACAAGTTTCCCTATGATGCTGACCACGAGAACAGAAGTCGAGCGATAAACGCGCAGAATTCATTAATCAGAAGGTCACCGTGCCCATTGAATAAGTAATTTTAAAGGTCGGTTATCGATTTTTCTATTGATCGCTTAAGTTTGATCCACTGCCTTAGATATAAAATAATCGACAGTTTAACAAAAGGAATTTTTGCGTTTAAAAACTTCGAAGAGTCTCATCAAAACTCATCAAAAAGGGAAATAAAGGCCTTTCGTATAGAACATGGTTGATGAATTTTCGTCGTATATTACTAAGAGATGTGATTTCAACTTTAGCCATTAGACTGTTAACATTCTAAAGTTAGTAAAATAAAAAAGTCGGCAATAAAAAATATTAGTTTCTTGACATAACAATTTGCTAAAACGCTTTGATGAGCAACCTCGATGGTATTTTTATGTTGCTGTTTCACTTTCAACAGCAACTGAATACTGCAATGCTAAACAATCCTAAATGGACATCAATCATCGAATGTTGATCTGCTCTGCTTTTCCTTAAGGACAAATATTTACGACATGAGATAGCACCCTCTGTTATTTAAAAAACGCCTTGAAACCTAGTTAAATAATGTCTTCGTTTCTGAAAGCCTTCATGAACTCTGCTAGATAAAATCCTTAATTTTACCGAATATGTTCGTTTTATCCTGGAATCCAAGCATTAGTAAACGATTCGATCAGCTGAGTTTCATCAAGATTATCTTTAATGCCCCGAACCAAAAAGCATGTTTCTTTTGCCTTCATGGCAAGTAGAAATTTCATACTAGTTCTTGAAGCCTTATTCTTGTTGTCGTAAGCCGCTCTACAACGTTTGGTTCATAATGGTGACATACAGTTGAGTTAAGTGGTATTCTATAGCAAGTACTATTTCTTTAGCGGTTAGGACGTCAAAAAGGTCTACAAAGATTTTAACCGAGCATCTTACTCAGTTCATTTGTATTTCTATCACTTCTATCTCGTCCATTGATTCAAACACTGTGTGTTTTCGTTTACAGATCGGTTCTGAGAACTTTGCGAGTTTCAAGCGCGAAGCAACTCGTCTGGAAGGCGTTGAAAAACACAGCGCGCTCGGCATTGTTTCATGGGAGAGAACGGGAGAAAAGAAAGACGAACCGAATCGCAAAGTGTACGAGAAGAAATGAAAGAAAGGGCATGTATGTTGCGAGTTCAAGCACTCACACCAACAGAGAGATGATAGAGTGCTCTGGGAAATGGCACACACACACACGCTCACATACACACTCCACACCAACAACGCAACCAGTCATTCTGTCGCTAATTGGATCGATCGACCAAATCGCTTTAGGTGTTCGAAGATGAGGAGTATTAGGATAACACTGTGATCTTTGACGTCAAATGCCTTCAGAGAATGTGACACGCCTCAAATACGAGGGATAAACGCAGTACGTTTGTATCGAAACCTAGATGTGATAGATTAAGTTCCGCGTTTTAATTAATATGAAAAGCCGAATAGAAGAGAAAATAAAAGTTTTAACATTTGGCTATGATATAATGCCCAACAGCTTAGAACATACTGCATATCCACAAGAATTCACTAAGAATCCCGAATGTTATCGAAAGAAGTAGTGGTGGCGAGTTTTTGTTTTCTACTGTGGTTACGACAAAATTAAACTAAGCATTCTTTGCTTCATTAAAACCGGACGAGAAAACTTGGTTATAGTTAAATGTCTGCAAGTTATCTTATTTAGAGAAAAACCTAATCGCCACAGTCAGTAAACCTGGTAATTTTGTGGATTCCCGTTTTCTAAATCCACAATTAGAGTCCTTAAAAGTGGACTAGTTTCACGCAGAGTAATTCACGTTTTCAGCAGCGATACTTCAAGTCCTACTTCAAATGCATCACCTGCGAAGATTTTATAAGACTCTACTGACGATTAGTCATCTTGATCGACAATGTTTGAAACGTCTGACATTTAACGTAATAGTACGTACGGACAACGACAAAATACCAATGAGGTGGTGTTAGAAAGCGTTCGATTAGTCATTGATGGCAACATACGACAGCTCCTTGGTCGTTCTACTTCATACGGAATACTTTCAGGGAGCCAAGACAATAGTGTTCAGCATGGAAAACCCTGCTTTCATGACGAATAAAGAATAAACAAGATATTTCATCATTCATTTACTTGTTCGATCAATATGCACTCTGTTATAATACCTAGGCGCTAAATAAGTCCATTGCAACGAATCTGAAATGGTACTGAAAGAATTTGATAAACTGAACTCACTCTTTACAGATGGCGAGTCCTCACGAGACGAGGCATGGTCTGAGAGGCACGGTGATTGATCTAAAGGTGAAAAATGAATCATATGAACTATAGCTGAAAACTTTGCCAGTTCTCTGGGCTCCATGTGAATACCCGTGAGCTTACCATTCTTAGCGGCTAACTTGATTATGTTCGTATTAGAAAGCATTTAATACTAATTCGCTATTCCATACATATTCCTTGAAACTTCACTTCTTACCTGCTCTAATGCCGGGACTTTGTTGTTGGGTGAGTTGAAGAAATTGTTGTTGAACGAGATTCGCGTAGAGCTGTTGAAAACCGGGTGGAAACATCGGAAGTGACGGAAATACTGACGATGGAGATGTAGATGGAACGCAAAACGGAAACGGAAAGACTCCAGGCATACGAGTTTTGTCAGCAGTATCCATTCTGAAAGGAAACGAACGAAGTCCTATGTGCTGCCGCTTATTCCAAGCAGAGTGGAGGAAACCGAACAGTAACAAACTCGGTCAACATATAGATAGAAAGAAAAGCAGAGCAGATAAAGTTTTAATTATTAAAATATTACTTAGAAAATTACTTGATACTCGCATCTAAAATAATGAACAAAGTGTATTTGTGCATCGGCAAGCGGTTTAGAAGGAGTTTCAACCTGCTTAATTAAAAAATTCTTGATCGCTTGAGCACCATATGGAAGAATTCTTAAGTAAAATGACCTGAGATGGTTTTTGACTTGATGGAATTCTCACTGCAAGAGCGAATTCATAGAAGAATTTGCAGTCATGTCATGGTGGTAGCAATCCAGTGTTGGGAAAAAATTCCACCAATGCTTCATCATCACTGTCTAATTAGGGGTGACTAGTTTCCATTAAAAAGCAACATTATCAAGCAAGTGCTTCGCTAGCCATGCTTAGGAAACTTTATGTTAAAGGTAGTCAACGATATGATGCTGTATCGAGTCGATTTATCGTACAGGTCGTCCGTTTCTGAAATACTACCAATCTCCTTCATTTTCAGTGATTGTAGAATGAAACAGAAGCGCAATTTTCTTACAACTATAGCGTCCTCTTAAAGAAAGAGCACTCAAAAACGCAATTCGCCTATGGGTAAGAAAAGAAGAGTAGATTATTATAAGTTAGGCTATAAGACCAACCAGCTCAAAAAATGGAATAGTGAAAATAAGCGAACGACTAGTGCATGACAAAAACGATTACCTTCGTTTTATGTGATCAAAAAGCCATAAGCTTTTCCCACTTCTTCTTGGCTTTCTCGGTTTCATTCAGTAACCATCTCCTTTATAAACTACTAAAACCGCCAAAGTATCAACAATAACGATGTGAACAGGATAGGCATGAGTCACCAAGAGAAGTTAGTCTTTTGAATGGCCAACGTAAAGTGCTCTAGCACTCTTGAAGATTGATCGACCTCCTAGCTCAACGCACAATTTTGTGGCTTCGTTTGCATTTTTCAGTGTTTATATATCAATTCTTATTGCTAGTCTGCCACCTTTACTTAGTAATCAGTATTGCAGTTATATTTTCTTAGTTACCAATGCTTATCATAGACGTTTACTGGTTTCTGACCAAGTGCTTTTGACGACAATAGGTGATGATCATAATGATAGACATTGTGAAGATGGAGTTGGTGATGTTGATCGTGGTGGCAATGGTGACAGTAACGATGATAACGTTGGTGATGATGGTGGATTATGCTGCTGCTGATAATAATAACATCAATAACGATAAAAAGTGGTAATAAAGGTGATGATAACGGAAAAAAAGAAAAAGAGGAGATGATGGTGATGACGATGATGACTTTCTAATGTGGCTTGATGACAAGTGTCATTTAGATGCTTCGACATAACTGGGCTGAGACTGAGAGGAAATGGAGTCGGGTGGTGTCGCATCGAGTGGCAAACATATTGTGTTATGAAAAGCATAACGCTCAACCCGACTGCGACACTGTGCCGTCTATTTCTTTATAATGATCAGATAACACGAACAGTAATGTGATGAGATGACTGCGGAAAACCAACACATTAACTGGTAATATTTGACAAAAAAAACTCGGTTAGCTCTCAACTGTTTTGCAATTCAACGCCCCATCGCCTGGCTTGCACCATGCCATTCCTAACTGAAGATTATTGCTGTTATTACTATTATTATCAAAATCAGTTCTTTCATTAGAAACAATGACGTCATCCAAAACGAAAGCAAATCGAAAGAAGATGGAAAAATCAACCGCTCGTTGTGATCGATGCCATATTAACTGACTTCATTGCGGATTTTAGTTCTTTATGTAGCTACACTCAACACTGTTTTCGTGACCATCTATTAAAAATATTGTAGAAAGTCTCCAAGATCATAGAGAGTGTTTTAAAAAGTAGTATTAAGTACTATCACTACTAAAAATTATTGGCCAACAAAATTTCCTTTAACGTGGAAAGCCTTATCCGTAATTTCCTAGTTCAGTGCTCGGTTATGAATAAAAAAGATGCCATTACTCAGATAACAATTTACTTATTCCACTGAGAATTTTGAAAAATGTGACTAAGAGAGTCTCCCGCAAATTTAGTCATGTTGCCACTTCGATTGAACAGCAGCCTCGTATGCAGCGGTCTGAGGTGGCTCTGCAAGAACGGTGTTAGCAAAACATTTCACATAAACTCTCGTAATTTGTTATTATTGACGTGAAACGTAAGACGTGTAGATTTCAGGCTTTTTACCCTGCCGAGTAGAGTTAGCTCACGGGAGAACACTGGCGGATCACTTCTGGAGGATAAATTTTGCAGTTTAAGCAAATCTTCTTATGCATGGCTTCATTTTTAACTCAAGTTGGCGTTATCAATACAGAAATCTTGGAGAGTGTGTTTGGTCAAGTTGTGAGTTGCCGATATGAGGTCAAAAACAAAAGATGCCAGGCACAGTTTACAAACACTACAAAGCTTCACTCTATGTTACCACTAAAGTTCTAGTTCTAGTACAACGCTTTTGGATAAAGCTCTTAGTGAAGTAGATGAAAAAATAACTACGATGAAAAATTGAACAAATTAACAGTAATTCCAAGGTCTATTAATCCGGAAAAGGCAATTCTGTGAGAATTACGCTCCAGAGGCAGTGTGAATCATAAAAGAAGAATCAGTTTATAGGAAATTGATGATGAGAATTCGTTACAAGAGGTTCTTCAAGGATATTGAAACTGTATCATTCCAACCGGCTAAAGTCAAGTCTATCACGGTGTTGGGTCTGGGTTCGTGTTCAGCGCTACAGTATCGTGCTGCGACAGAGTAAGTGGTGTGAGTGAGTGAAGCACTCACTGGTTGACTGGCGACGTATGTACGGGGTGGACTATCTCAACGAAGAATGATCGTCTGCTCTCCAGCACTTGGTTCAGGCTCTCTTCGTCACCCATACTCTCTTACAACCGTCTGACTCCGGCCCAACCCCAATGGGCGTGGTTCCTGCGCTGATTGGTCGGCCGCAAAGCGACACCCGAGCGTCAGCGGATTATGCGCCAGACCTAGTAACTATATTACGGTAGGTGGTCCGTTCGTCAAGTGAACTCAAGAACGAGGCCATTGTCCTCTTGATAGCTATTACAGCCAGAATAAGATTTCTGTACAAAGTATCGCTTTGGTAAGCAACTTTATAGGATGAGTTGTTCTTACAAGTTAACTTGAACTGATATGAGCTTCCGTGCGTTTGCTAGCCTTTCTGTTCATAAATATCTTGCAAATAGTTTTCTTTTAGTGCAAGCTCTAAAGGCTTTGTAAAAAGTCGAAAATATTGAGTTTTGTTTTGACTAAAATGAATACACTTAGTTGTTCTCCGGATGTGCAGTTCTCGAATATTCTTCATTATCTGACAAGGTCATTTTTCTATATGACCATAAGGACTGCTTAAAAGCTATTACAGAACAATACTATCATGGATGGAATGTGTGTGAAAAGTTATGAATAACCACCGCCTATCTCCCGCCCCGTGGAAAGTTTTCCTCCTCCCTAGGACCTCGGTCAAAACTATTTTACGCCCGATTTCTCGCTGTTCCTAGTGATTTCCTGCTGAGTTGCGAGAGGTAGGAGAGATGGTGAGTACCGTCATTTATTCCCAGACCTTTTTTTCTCACATAAAAGTTCGACGGCGACAAGGATACTCTCAAGGCATTTGATAGTACAATAGTGGCGGGAGCTTTGTTAAGCTATTCCCGTCCCAATAAGACTCAAGCCGAAAATATCACCAAGTCAAATGGTATTCATTGCAAGCATATGACTCGTGGCGAAACATTTACCAAACTCAAATTTCCTTCCAGTAGAGAGGATCACTCTCTCATCAATTATATTTTATCTAAACGTGGGAAATTGGTAGAAAAAACAACATTTAGAGCAAAATTTCTCAACTTACTGATTTTAAATCATCAGTGAGTCTCCTATTGATTTTTTCCCACATCGGGTTTGATCTATACCGCTTTTTATTCCTCGCTGATAAAGACGGTTACTATTACGATTGCACTAAACAGCTTGTACCATAACCACGTTCTTATCATATTCTTATTATTTCTGCTACCAGTGCTCCTACAATAATTTGATTTTCGGAGGGTCCAATAAGGGTTTTCCGCACTTTTCTAATGTTTGCTAAAGTTTAGAAAGAATAACGTTATCACTCTTAGTTATTTTGCTATGAAGGTGGAAATTACAAACAAGTGACTGAGACTTTCTTCGAAAAGGCATTCCTTGTGGACTCTATGGACAATGACAAGTGATTTTTTACAGCTTTTCTAGTCTAACACCATCAAGCAATGGTGTCTATCCATTTTTCAACCTGAATCTAGTTAATTTTCGTCATTGTTTTGTCATTTCCTTGAGAATGATGGGAATGATTGAGTGCAAAGTTCAAGGCACTAAAATCGGTATTGATCATTCTTGGAATGAGGTGGATGAGCAGCGCCAATCTCACGACTCACTCCGTCGACGGCAAGGACGACATGAATGGTAAAATTGCTTTAATATCCGACTAGTTATCACATCAAGAGCAGCTGGACGATATAAACCAGCTGGTGCCGAGAAGATGAGAATCGGACCTATCATGTTCTTTCTCAGAAGAATTAGGCCTGCCGCATTTTTCCTCATAAAATGAGAACTATATCTTGAAATTGAGTTATAGAAAGACTAGTAGTAGAAAATAAAGCGGGTTATTTGAAACCTTTTATAAGAGTTTGATATAGTGGGGTGCATCGTCCGGTTTCTGAATGGTGCCTTCATAGGTATCTAAGAAAAATAATTTAAACGCATTGAAACAGTCGAGAAGAAATCCAGGGATGTAAACTAGGTGAGTGGAATTTTTCTTCGTCCGTTTTCTTCACTTTTCAATCTCAGCGAATGGACAAAAGCTTTCTTTTCCTAAATTACTCTCCGAGAAACTCTAACACGGCC